ACTACAAAGCTTAAGGTTTTGTGGACTGGACTTCCTTTAGTTCATTGGACTCTTAGGAAAGCACTCTTGATTACAATTTCAAAGATGACGAGCTGCATAGGAGTGCAGCAGAGCCTCCTAGGACTGAATGAAAGCCTTACTTCAGGCTGTTAGTACCACATGGAACTGATTGCATGAGGCCGATTGCAGCATTTAAAATAAATGGAAAAGCTTTTAGCCATGCTGGTATTGTGTACGAGATGAGCTCATAGGCCAGGGTGGTATATCGTGGTGGTGGGGAAATCGGCTTCTGAATTACATAAATTGTTTTCGGGTGCCTGGTAATACACTGCTTCTGCAGCAGTACCTCACAGTACTCACATAACATCAGTAGGGCTGCTTTTGTAATGCTTTTGCGTGTTAATAAATTAAAGACTTCATGAGCAAGTTGTGCTAGAGGAAGCCCTCTCAGATGAGAGAAATGTGACTGTGCTCGGGAAGGAACTCTACTTTAGGGGCCCCCCAGATGGAGGAAATTCGGGACTTGTTTCAGACAGGGCTAAACTTTTCTGAAGAGTTCTGGTACATTGGAAGAATGAAGCTCTTGAAATAGGTACAGAATTCTAAGCTTCAGGGTGTAGGAATTCTACAAGGTCTCTTTCTGTCCTGGCAGTGGTTTATCCTTTCAGCCTAAAGGTGTGCAAGCACATTTGTGTAACACAGTCCGAGCAGCTAGATTCAGCGTTCTGTTCGCCAAGTCTGTTTTAAAAAGGGAGATTGTGCTGGTCTGCATTGAATTCTGTCATCATCTAAAAACTTTGCTGCTCTGCATGTGAGTTAGATATACGTGCAAGCCATAGTACTTATGGGCTGTAGCATGTTTCTTCTCTGGTGAACTTTGTGCCTGTAAACCAGGCAGTGACACGTTCAGCTACGTCTGTGGCTGTTTTCCGGAGGGACAGACAAAATGTATTAATACATCTTTTAGTAATTCAAGTTATTTTACTGAATTACTAATATGCCTTTTGTTTCATTGTCACACAACATAGACGAATACACATCCGAATGTAAGTTGTTACTGAAAAGTACTGATGTGCAGCACACTATGAGATGATGAAGAGGAAGTCACAATCCTTTTTCCCAAGCGTTTTGTGTTTAATAAGGTCTTTAGATTCTGCTCTTAAGAGGTTGCTGCCTCACTTCCTGAAGGCTAAGGCTCATGAAAGCATGCACTTCAGTAAAGAAATGGCTGTGAGATGCTTTCTGAATTGAGCAGGCAGAACAGTATGCAGTGACAGTGCTTTTTAATGTACAGGGCTTAGAGTAGACATCCAGCATGGAAACTATTTTTCCAAGTAGAAGTGTATCTTGAATGCAGAGTGGTAGAGGGCTCTTTTGTACTGTTACACATCTATGGATAAATGATAAATAATGCATATTAGAAAAAACCTGTATATACTGTGAATTTGAAGCAACCCACAGATCAGGAAAAAGATAGGAGATTAAAAGCCAGAACTGTAAAGTAGATAAAGGTAATACTGTTTATTGCCATGCAGAATTAGCTAGCAGAACTGACATAAATAGCAGTGAGTAGGGTGGTAGGATTAGATTAAACCCAAATTTGCTGTGGGCTCGTAAAGTTACCGGTAACACTCGTCAAGGCTTCAACTTTCTCTAATTTTCTGCCTTTCACATGCAGAACATCACTGCAAGTAAACTTCTAGTTCCTGCACAGAGCACATAATACAATGCTTTATGTCACATAGAGAGGTGCCAGAAATAATAGGTTTAATTTTTAAATGTCCTGAATCTGCTACCTCGGAGGGTAATCTGAGAATCCAGATGCTCAGTTTGACATCTGACACTGCCATTAAACTATTTAGCTGCCTTGAATGGGTCATTTTGTGTCAGGACTGTTGTGTTTGCAAAGCAGGAAAGAATATTAATGAACTGCAGTGTTTGTGAACTGTTTAAACTCAAAATAGTAGTGTAACTCAGCCCAGTTAAGGCACATCTAGACTTAAAGCTTTATTAAGAAGTTGCTGTGTTTGAAAATCTACGCTTCCTTTCCAGATGAGAATCTGGTCTATACTGAGGATGGATTTTTTGGTTTTATATGTCTGCATGTGTAGTACTAGAAGGGCAGAACTGACGTATCAGATCTACAGATGAAAAATTACTTTCTTTATAATTGAAGTAGGAAACTTCTGTAGCTGTTTCCAGTTGGTCTTTATGGAGGCACTTTGGGGCCCTAGGCAGGGAAGGATCTAAGTCTTGCTTATGCATTGCCAGATATGATGAATTATTTTGTGAGAATGCCAGATTTTCTCTCTGATTTGTCATGTCTCGCCCCCTCCATTGTTAACTTTTAAATGAACAGGTTTTACTTTGCATTTTAAAAAAATTTAAAATACCAGTAGGAATTTCACATTGCTCAGCTGAGGAGTGCTGACGAGTACATGTTCAATGTCATCCTCCTTTTTTTCAGTTTGGCATTTTCACTACTTACCATTAACAGAATCTCTTAAACAAATGACTGTCAGTTCAGCATGTTGCTGATGGGGCTGTCTGAATTCTAGAGCAAAATACTACTTTTTTTTTTTTCTTAAGAAAATCCCCTCTCTTAGTAATAGGGAGATAGGAAAAGGAAGAAAAGATACTTGGGTTTCTTCTGAGTCCATCTAGAGTTGCTGCCATATGATACTGTAGCGAGCCTCGTACTAAAATGGAAGATGGTGATAATCTTGCACAGTTTCTGATCACAGTTTAAAATGGCACTTAATTTTACATGTCTCAAGCCTTTCTGAATCATACCATCTGCTTCATGATAAATGTAAGCATATTTAGTCTTTATTTGTTAGCTGACAGCAACTTAGATGAGAAAGTGGTCTCCTTTTTCTTGCCTCAATTACCATATAATCTGAATTCCAAGCATGCCTTTAGATTTATGCATTTTGGGGTAAACAAGCACTGGCAGAAGGCTGCTGAGTAATATGTCAAGTATTAAGCTTTTTGGCTGAAGACTGTAGAATGAGCATACAGACGTGATGACTTCAGCTCAGACTCTTAGAGGCACTTCATTTGTCCTATTACAGCATTGTCTCCAGAATTTACAAGAAAATCTGGGCTAGTTCAACTCAGAAATGTTGAATCTTATCTTGCTTGCGAAATATCTAAACCTTTGTAGCTCCGAGGGCACACATTCAGCTGTGTTTTAATGTTTCAAACTTGCTGCAAGTTCAGGGTGTTCAGAAAAACAGAAGAGCAGAGAAGCAGCAAAGACCTGAATCTATATGCTTACAGAACAGAAAGAATTTAAGTGGAACTAATGCCATGGGGGAAGGAGAGATTAACAGACAGGAAAATAGCAATTAATTAAATTTAATTTTAAAAAATCTGTTAACAAACGTGAAGATGATTATGGGTGATCTTGCATAAAACCACGGTAAAATGTAACCGAACAAGTTTTAATTTTGAGAACCCTGAGACACTGAGGCTCAGGTGTGAGTATGTTAAGCGTGGGAAAAGAAAAAGGCAAAAAGGCGAGGGTTTGATAGCAAGGCAATAGGGATGCAAATTACTATGTAAAGTTCAAGGTTTCTACCTGATAATTGTCTCCTTCATTGTCTCCTTCATTGAGCCGTGCTGAAGAAAGGGATTATGTAATTGAGCAGCAACAGAAGATCTCTCGAAGGGAATGAACTTTGAGTGCAGCTACTGAAAATAAATTTGAAAGCATTTTACCTTGCCATGGTAATACTCCCCCTAAGACCTACCCTGTCTGGCCTGCCTAACAGCCTGTGGGCTACCACTTTTTAGGGGTTTTACTAAAACGTAGCACTTGGGGTGTGGGTGGCGGCACAACACGCAGCAGTTTCCAATGGCAATGACTTTGATATTTTGTAGGCAGGAAATTAAGGATAAAACTTGACTTTTACATATTTTCTTCTTTTTTATGACAGCATAGTGGCTTGATATTTATAGAATAGTAGCAAATTAGAGATTAAAAAGTGTATATTCTTAACATGAGGAGTGTCTTTAGTGGCACAGGGGCCTGTAGGAGTCAGGTCTGTAGCTGTTGTCCTCAGTTGTGCTGTACAGGCGTACTGGGCAACAGCAGGGCCTTGTCTATCTGGTTTATTTGGTGGCCACACTGAGATCCTTTGCTGTATAAGAGTCCTGTGTAAGTACAGCAGTTTTGACACATTTTCATTTGGAAAGCAACTTTGCAAATACAAAAGTGAGAGCTTTTTAGGGGATTTTCTAAATTTCCTCATTCCCTCTGCTTCCTGACCCCTTTTCTAGTATAATACATGGTCCCTTTGGGAGAATGATGTTCAAAGCAAATAAAGGCCGCATTGTCGTATTGTGTCCAGACAGTTTAATTTTGCTTCTCTATCCCAGCACTGTGGTCATGCTCAGAATAAGGGTAGTGTGTATATGTAAGGACATCAGTATATCAAAACTAAAACCTTTCTGCAGAGATGGAATAAAAGATTGTAATGTTCTGTATAAACACATGTGCAAGCCTAGTGGTGATACCATTCTCACCTGTTACATACGTAAAACTTGTATTATAGTTTGCGTTCACTGGCATGAGAAATTAGACCCCGTGAGTATATTATTCCATTATTATAAGTGTGTTCTGCATTCAGTGACTACATTTTAAATCTAGAACCTGGTAAGTTTACCTTTTTTTTTTTTTTGAAAGGTGAGTATCTGATTGTGTGCCTCGTTTATAGCTCCAGAGATGGCTTGGGAAGGGGTAGGATCTAACTTGAGATAGAAACCTGTACTTTAAAATGTATTAATATGTATGATAACTTAAGGAAGCTATTTCATGTTGTAAATGGGAAAAGGAAAAATGAAACGTATTTATTAATGGTCTTTCAGATGGATGCAAAGCTTTGAAGATTAGTGTATTCATCATAATGTCATATGGTACAGAGACTTTTCATTCTGCAAGGTTACAGTTGGGCCATAGAAATCAAGTAAATCTCTAATATTTTTCTGTCATTCCCACCAGGTTTCCAGAATAAAAATAGGGTTGCAATCCTGGCAGAACTAGACAAGGAGAAGAGAAAGTTACTTATGCAAAACCAGTCTTCCACAAATCACCCTGGAGCCAGGTATTTTATGTTCTTACTCTATTTGGACATTACTGATTACATCAAAGGAAAAAAAAAAAGGCGAGTGAGCTGTAAACTTACATAAACACTTATCAGAAGTGTTTTCTGACCATCCCCAATAACCAGTCAGAGAGACCTTGCATGTCAGGAACGTGTTAGTATTTAAAGTTGTTTACAGACCCTGAATTTTTGTTTCCGTAACTTCCATTTGAGAAGGGGAGAAGCAGATAGGCCTATTCAACTGTATGAAGGAATCATGGAGCAGGCACTGAGAAAGCATTCAATAATTAAGCTAAAATGCCCTAAGGAATGGAAGTAGCAGACCATTAGGTTCAGGCTACTGTGTGTTTCAGATATGGCAGGGATTGAGTTATCCTTGAAGCTCCCTGTGTGCAAGACAAAGCCAGTTTGTGCCATTGCATCTCATCTTGTAAAAGATACTGTGTTGTAAGGATGATTCTACACCACAAGGTGTAATATTCTATTCAGAGTTCAAGAGCTGTCACAGGGATTTGTCCCCTTTAAGACAAAAAGGTTAGATATTTGTCATAAATCGGTAACTAGAAGATCACACGCTGGTTTGTGTGGGGAAACTGAGATAGTTTTGGGTTAATGTGAAGTGAGTGCAGTGCCGCGATGTAGACACGGTGTGTTGCGTGCAGTATCTATCTGTACAAGAGTCAAGTACCCTGAATGTGCGCTGGGTGATGCCTCTGCCTTTTTTCAGGGAGATTCTAGGTCACCTTTAATTGCTTTGTACTGTCAAAAAGCATGCAGAATATTTGAAATTGTCTGAGTTAGATCTCTGAGTGACTTTTTATGCAGTTATTGTTCAAGAAATATTATTGATTAGAGGAGAAGATAGAAGTATCATACTGTTAAATACAGTCCCTGACTCCTGGCAACCGTGGTTCCATACTTCATGGCAAGTCTGGCAGAGTTTCAGGCGGTGCTTGTTTGCTTTCTGTTTTCATTAAGGAAAAAATAACATTATGTGCTAGTGAGCAGAATTAGAACTTACTAATTTTGAAGGTGGGGATGTGGGGGAACCTACAAAGCAGCAGTCAAACTCTCTGCTTTGGTGTGGTGGGCTGATGTGTGGTTTTTGAGAAGCTAACAGTTCTGTGTCAGGGATGGTGTGCCAAAGGTTTTGGACCGCACAGTTGTTACAAATGAGACCGCAGAAATTCTGCAGACCTGACAGAGAAGAGCTTGTTGTACCTCAGTGACACAACAGTGGCATCGCCAGTGTAATGATGTGTGAGTTAATTGATTTCTGACCTTGACATATGGCAATCCTCTATCCAACAACAGAAGACTTGTCTTGAAAAGTGTCAGCTTATGATGAAGCCTTACCTACAGAAATCATACTGAAAAGTTAGACAATGCAGAATTAAATGCAAAATCAGTACCTTCAAAGTAACTGAAAATACTGTGTTTTAAATAAACTGAGTAGCACTTTTCTCCAGCAATGAAACTTATCTTAATATTTGTCATCAAATCTGTTCAGAGGATTATTACTTAGCTTTCATAATGCATTTAGGTGTAGATTTGGCTAAAGGTCTTTTCATGAGCATGGCTGCTTTTGAAAAACTGATTAACTAAATCAGCTGTTGACATTGAGGCTGCTGGGAAAGTTTAGCTGATGAGTTTGCTTGGATCCCGTGTTGTCCTTCATACTTTTGTCTCTATGGCTGAGGAGAGCTGGGCTTGCAGCACCAGTCTCCAGACCCAGTTTCACGGGTAGCTGTGAATTGCCTTCAATACAACTCTAACAGAAATCAGGGGGGGACTGCTGTCTGGGGGATGGCTGATCTGTAGAGCTGGGAAACAAGTCTACTTTTTATTTCTACTTTGGTTAACAAGGTCAACAAGTCTTAAGATATAAAAGCCAAGAAAACCTATTTAGAAATTTTAATTTGAAACCTAATGTATGCCACACTGAGATAGATAAGCAAAATTAATTTTAAGTACTTTTAAGGTACATCAGAGGATCGCTATAGGAAGTTCCTTTACCATAAGCAGTGATCTGCTACCTGTCTGCTGAAAAACTGGTCTTATACTTGAGGCTGCAGAGCTCTTGTTAGTGCTTCTGTTTATCACAGCTGTTCAGAACAGTCACTGAGTGACTGACTAATGGTGAAAACACCAAACTGTTGTAAAAATTGCTGACGCTGTCTAGCATTGCTCCCCAGTGGTTCCACTGCCTTCAGTGGGACTCCACCCACGAGCAAAATCTGCAACGGACTTCAGGACTGTGCGTCTTCTGGGTTTAAGTGGGCATCCATTGTCTATGCTCGGTCAAACGATACAGCTATTGTCACTCCATTTTCCTTCTCTCTCCTACGTTAACAAATAGTAATTCCAAACAATAGTTAACAGTTGTCAAACTGTGAGTCAAATAAATTGTGAGCTGTGGAAGTCATGGAATCTATGGCTAGAATGGCAAGGACACCTTTTTTTCCCCTTTGATATGTATCATACCACCTTGGTGTGTTTTTTTGCAGCATTGCACTTGCAAGATCACCGCTGAACAAGGATTTCCGTGATCATGCTGAGCAACAGCACATTGCAGCACAGCAGAAGGCTGCTCTGCAGGTAAGCTGATACAGTCAGGGAGAGTCTAGCTTGGCTCTGGTTTAGATGTGCATCCCTTCAGCAAGCAGTCCTGCACCTGGACACAATGAAAAGCCCCTTTTAGAGGTTAGGTTTCATACATTTCTGTATTTGTCACAAATGAAGTTTCTTCTTCTGTTACCATGAAAGCTTAAATCTATCAGCTCATTCTCCCTTGATATGTTGTAAGAATGCAGTCAAAATACCATCATAGCTGTTTTGTACATCTTGGTCAAGAGCCAGAGTACTTCTTAATGTCTCATGAAGTGTAGGGAGAACTAGCCACATGGCTTTCCGTGGTTGAATGTGAGTACATGCCAAGTAAATACCCTGCAGTTACAAGTGACAGGGGTGAAAGGTTTGGAAAACTTACTTGTACATTTACAGGCTTCTATTTGCTGCTATTTTGTTCAGGTCAGGTGAGGCTGATTTTGGTGCTGAAACTGGAAATTGAGCAGGAAAGCCAGTACATGGCCTCCTGCCTTCCTGGCACTCTAGACAGCATGACTTGACAGAGGGCACAGGATTGGGAAAAATGTTGAGATGCAAACTAGTAACCCTATTCACACCCCCTATGCCATGCTGTGTTTCTGTTACCCAGTAATGGCCCCAGATTGCTTCTCCTGAAATGAAGGGAAGCGGAAGTGAGCTCTGTCTGGTGTCCTGTGTTGGTCACAGAACACTGTAGGCTGGAAGGATCCTCTGGAGGTTTCTGGCCCACTGCCCTGCTCAAAGAATGACTAACCAGCAATGCTGTGTAACACGCTGTGTAACATGTTCAGGGCACGGTGCAGTCAAGTTTTGAAGCTCCCCAGGAATGGACTTCTCCCAGCCTTTCTTGGTTTTGATCATGGCTCTGTCTTCTCTATAGCCTGTCACTGGGTATCTGAAAGCAGCATAAAATCTTCCCTCAGCTTTCTGTTCTTACAAGAAACTCACTCCTCTCACCACCCCCTTGGACAGTGAGCCCTTCAGCCCAGCCGTCTCTGGGTCTCTGTTGGACACCCTTCGGGCTGAACACAATACTGCCAGCACAGCCTCGTGGGTAGCTGCCCTTGGCCTGCTGACTGTGCTGCTGCTGACGCAGCCCGCTGTGGTGGAAGGAAGGAGGGAATAAGCAGGCTGTCTAGCTTACTGGAGTCCAACCTTTGAACTGGGAAGGGCTACATACGATTTTACCAAGGTTGTCCAGAGCTATAAGCAGCAGCTTGCCCTCCTCAGGTGAACGTGCGTACGTACGTCACACGAGCAGAAAGCTGGTGTCCCGTGGTATGCAGGAGTCTGTCTGGTCACACGCCGTTTGTACACGCAGCCTGAGGTTGTGTGACGCTGCGGATGCCTGCTTCTGGCAGTCATACGTGGCAGCTGTCGCATGCCAAGGCCTGTAGGTTGGTTATAGATGGGGGTGGGAGCATGGGCCCTAGGCGAAGGAGAGTTGTCAATAGTTCATTACCGCTCTCCCCACCTCCGTCGCATTTGCTGAAAAAGGAGCAGCAGGGAATGGCCAAGTTAATTCTCTCAATGGGCCCCGGTCAGATGTGACTGATCTAGAGCTCTGGTTTTGAATTTGACTGTCAGAGCTGAGATTGCTGCAGAAGCTGGAAAGTCTTGAATTGTATCAGTGCTGCAGGGAGTTACGCTTTAACAAATATTTTTCTCTTTCCAGCATGCACATGCACATTCCTCAGGATACTTCATAACCCAAGACTCTGCATTTGGAAATCTTATTCTTCCTGTCTTACCTCGACTTGAGGCAGAATGAGGAATGTTGTTTCTCAGAACTGAAGGATCCGATTTTTGTCCATAATAGAAACTGCCTGACCTTTTAATTTCTTTACTTATCTTTAAAACTATTTTTTTCCGGATTTTTGTGATTGCCTTTCGGGAGTGTGAGCTCTAATGAAGAAAAAGCAATGTGGTTGATTTTTATCCTGTATTTCTGTTCCTCTGTCAGGTCGAAGTCAGACCTAAGACTTCCTTGGTGTGAAGTGCATAGCGCTTGCTCTTCCCTGTTTTTGTGCTTCCTTTAAATAAATGCCCAAACCACAGTCATCAAGAGATGCACGCTCTATCAGCATTTGTGTTTCTTATTATTGTGTACAGGTACCACGTTTGACTTTCAGGGAAGACAAGAATTACTTTTGTCCATCAAAACAGACATGAATTTATCAAATGCATCAGTCTTTTTTTTTCCTTCTTTTTTCTGTATGCAGGAACATTACTAGTGCACTGTTTGTTGTTGTAGTGTCATCTGGTCTCAAGTCCTTAGATAAAGCGTGCCTGCCTCTTACTTTGTTTTGTGAAATATGAAAATGAATTAAAGCGGGGAAAAAGCTGTTGTTTCACACATTCTTACAACAGACAAAATAGAAGTCGTCTTTTACCTTCTCTGGGCATTTCACATGGGAAGTGTTGTCTGCAAGGACAATTTAGGTTAAAAGGTCGTATTTTTCTAGTCATACCTTTATCGATATTTAGTGTGTTTCATTTTGTTTGCTTTTTTCCTTTCCTGTTTTTATTTGTGGTAAATAATTCCAGCTCCATGCTGAAAGAAATTTACCTTAAGATCAACAGATTTGTTCTGGAATTGTGGTCACACTACCAAGGTAAAGTAACTTGGTGGGTAAAACAGTCCGTGCATAGATGTTCTTATGTCTCCACATCTGTACTAATACAGTCATACCAGTACATTGATTGCTGTACCTACGGAGGCAAGTTGGAGAGAACAAACAGATGAGAACTTAAGTGAGAACCAGAAACCAGGCAGCATCTGTAAATTGGTGCCCATTTGCAGCAGCTCTGTCCTTTGCAGAAACGTAGCTGTCCCATGTGGTTTCCGGGGTTGTAGTCTACAGATTTCCTTAGTGGCGTTTAGAGCATCCTGTTTCCATCTGCAGGGGTGTGCCTGAACGCAGTAAGTATTGCTGAACTGTAAGCGCTGTTAACAATTCCATCCCTCATGAGTGACGAAACAGGGTGAGGGACAGGGGTTGGGTGCAGGTATGAGGGAAATGCCACTGCTTTCATACACCTCAGCTGAGTACAGACCCTTGCAGAAGGTGTAGCATACTGCAACATTGTCCAGGAGGAGAACCTTGTGGAGGAGGCCGGATAGAGCTTAAAGATGTGTGATTGTAACATCAACTATTCATATCATGTGCTTTTTTTGAGGCATCTGATGTGGTGAGTCATGGGAACGACGATGGGTTTTGTGGGCAATGGAGAAAGTAGTACTGTCACTTCTGTTTTCAGTGGTTGGCTCTGTAGCTTTTTCTTTTTAATTACCAAGAGAAACTCCACAATGAAGCAGTCCTGAATACTTATTATTCTGCAGTGTGAGCTGAGTATCTTAGATGCTTTGAAGGAAAAGATCTGCAAATCTCAGTGTAGAAGAGGCAGCTATGAATCAGTCCAACACTGGAAGGACACAAAAGCAAATAAGGTAAAGCAGATAGAGCAGGAAGTTTGAATTTTAGATTTTAGTTCAATTTAAAAAGTAGGCTAGACATTTTAGCATTGAAGGAGCCTTTTTTGTTTGTTTGTTTATTTTCTTTAGAAAAGTGGCAAAAGAAAGTCTTTCTCTAGAAACAGTGCTCCGTGCTAACAAATTGAGTGATAGAATCACTGGTTGCTGAACCAGTTGTAATTACATTTTAAGTTGTAATGCCTCACATTATTCTGTGTAGTCACGAGGGACTTGGTGATATATGTAGATCTAATTAACTGTCAAAGAGAGAAATGTTGTATATGGAAGCTTCTATCTTGGAGACCACAGACTCTAGCAATTAGTGTCAGATGTATCAATTTGTCTTGCCACTCTTACTTTTTATTTTCCGCTATTAATCAGTATTAAAACCATTAATCTATCCCTGTACTGTAATTTCAGCAAAATCTTTTCTCCTGCTGGAACTGCATGTTCAAATTCAAATCATTATTCACTGTAATATTCCCCAGGTAGGAAGTATCTGGGATGTCCTGCTTCTGGCAGTAACTATTAACTTGATGACATAAAAGCAGAAGGCTTGTAATCTAGTGCTGACCTGTGTACCTAAAAGTATATTAACACACATAATTGCTCTAGAGTAATTTTATTTCATTTGCTACAGTAGTACTCAGCCTCTGCACTCAACACAGGTGGTTGGTGTCCAATTCAGAGCTGGATGGTGGGGTGAGAGCGGGTCACAGTACTGGGTAGGTCTTACACTAAATGGATCAGATAGATTAGAGGTGGGCTAACACAGTGAGGTTGGACTTCCTAGGTGATGGCTGAGTCATGATCTGTTAAGAATAGGTGAGGTAAAGAAGTCAAAGATCTTGAACTGAAGCACTGGAAGAACTGAACCACAGGTTCTTTCTTAGCTCCGTGCTCTTTTTCTTCCACTAACCAGTTTTATCTCCACACCTTTATTTTCCAAAGTCACTCACCATATCCCCACCATAACAGGCCATTATAGGAAAACGCTGGGTTTTAACACAAGAAGCCTGACTCATAGAACCACACTTGGCTTCCTACCACTACAGGGTTTTAGTGTCCATTTTTTCTTAGTATTTTCACTCTTCTCTTGGAAGCACTGGTAGGAAACTAATCAATAGCACCTGACGTATTTGCACTTCACATCAGAACACAGAATACCCTATGAAACTTGTTATTGGAATTACACCCCCGATGTCACTTGCCAGGAACTTCCTAGTTGCTTTGACGTGTTCAGTTAAAATAGCTAAATGCTACTTCTGCCTTCATTTGCAGTCAGCACAGGACAAGCCAGCTGCAATTTGCCAGTCCTGTGGATGCATCTGGGCACCACTGTGTTCACGCTGGAGGGGTCCTGTCTGAGGTAGATGCTTTGGATGGCTCTTGTCTTTTATTAGGTCACCTGTGCCACTTGAAGACGTCATTTAGGGTCTTGCTGCACAGCAGAGAGGTCAGTGCTCGAACCCTTGCCTTGTAGAAATGCATGAAGAAGCCAGGCTTTTCCATCTTCAGAAAGAAAGAATTGATTATCAACCGGGTAACGGGGAACAAGAGCTTCAGCTGGTGGGAGGAAGTGCAGACAGCTATGTCATAAGAGCACGACTTTCTGTGGCTTGACTTAGGGCGTTTGCAGTGTTTCAGGGACAGAGCACAGGCTAAAGGAGGGTGATGAGCATAGAGTAATGTGGCATGCAGTCACAGATGTGCACGCAGGCAGTGACTGTCTCAACGCATCCTCCTAAGCATTGTAATAGCTAAAACGGGGCTTGGTGTATTCACCAGGAAGAAGCATTGCTAAGAATACCTGTCTTGCGCAGGTGATGTTCTTTCACCTTGTGTCTGCTTAAACATGTATTCAAAATCAGAGGGATGCCTGTGACACTAGCTGGATGATTCTGATGGTCAAAATTATGGCACTGATGATTCCTCCTGTTAAATCAGCTCAAAAAGCAAGTTTTCTTGAAGGATGGGGTTAGTGCACTGTGATATGAACTTCTGCTGAAACATAAAGCTGATTCCCATGTCCTAGGGAGCAGGAGAAAAAAAACCCATGAATCCTAAAGGAAAAGCTAAAAGACATCTGGGTGGTCTATGTGCACAAATGCCTCTGAAGGAGGAGGTGGAGAGAGAGAGGGAAGGATTGTCTGCAACCAGCTGGAAGAGTCTTCCTATCCAGAGCTTCATGTGCCTGATTTATGTTTGCTAATGGAAAGGAAAATCCTACAGCATCTGCTAGTAACACCCTTGTGTCTGGAAAGTCTGGTAATCAGCATGTTCTGAAACACGGAGGCTGTAGGGAATCCTTCTCGGGCTAAAATACAGTGTATGGAGCTTTCTGAAGTGAACAGTAACTTCGAAGACTAGTGGGCGAAGTGGATCTGCACGCTGTTGGGTTAAAAGCTTGCTCCTGTGAGTGTCTGCACTTGTAAACACAGAGCTTGTCCCATACTTCTTAAAGCAAAGACAGCACCTTCTTCTCTCCTGGTTCTTGCCCTTGATAGAAGGAATCAAGTGACATACCTCCCTGGGGAAGTGGTTTTTACACTCCTTCCTCAAATACAGATTTTTCGGAGAAGAAGAAAGCAGGTTAAATGCAATTAGTGGAGAAAATTCCATTAATGCAGTGGGACATTATGAAAAATGATACTTAACTACGGGTGAGGAAATGGCTTTTCTCCTCAGTTGCTCCACTCTGCCAGGTTCGTTCAGGTACTGAATTATGAAAGTTGATGGCACACTTCTCGGCTTGTTCTCATTAAGACCTCTTATCTGGATACTTTAGTGTCAGTGGATGCTATTTTTGGCACGCAGGTTTTGTAGATTGTGGCTGGAAGTTGTTCAAAATCTACCTCATTTTTGTCCCAAGAGGTGCACTGCCTCATTTAAAAGTGTAAATCACAAGCGTGCATGCCACCTTTGCTACGCACCTCCACTGCACTGTCCATTAGTGTGTGTCTGTTAGTGGTTGATGCTCAGCTAATGTGAGTTTCTTTCCCAAAAGGGAAAGATGTCTCATTGTAAAAAATTATATATAGATATACAGACATTTTTACCTCATCTGAGTCTTTTTCGGTGCATTACCTGAATCCTCAGGCGAGGCAAACGAAGCTCCTGTTATCTTCAGTGAAGTTACGCTCTGAGCTGAGTCTGGAGGGACATCCCAGTGTCTCTCACACACACGTGAACGTTTTTGGTAGGTTTCATGTTCGGTATCTTGGGAGTGTCAACTTGCTGTCAGCGAGTGAGCCTGATGATTGTGTTGTTTCGGACAGAGCATCTTTCATCGATGTGTTTGTTCATCACCTGGCACATGACACAAGGCAGGTTGCTAAGCACAGGAAGTCATTTATAGTGACAGGTGCTGCTGGCTCACCCTGTGTCACTGTCTGGCTTTTGCTTAAGCATTCCTAAGGCAATTGCAAAAAAAACACCTCCCTTTTATAGTAATATCCCCCATGCTACTTTATATCTTTTTCCAGTGGTAAACTCAGAGACAGGGTTTCAGAGAAACCTGACAGTCTGATGTACTCACCCCCAGGCGGGGCTTTTAGCAGCGGTGCTGCGGCGCGTGAGAAGAGGGCACGATGCCAGCACCGCTCGGCAGAGTTTCTGATGGTGCGGTCTGTTCACATATGCTAAGGGTAGCAGGTGATATTCAGCCATCTAAGAGTGGGAAGTCTCACATCTAATAAATGGTTGCATATCCAAAACCACATCTTGGCGATATTCTCCAGGTCTCCGTCAGCAGACTGCTTGTGGCAACGCCTGGGTGAAGACACCTCAGTACAGCAACTGAGTCCTGATGCGGATGGGAAACACGGTCGTTCTTGTTCCTGAGATGTATTACGCCTTTCAGCCTTTCCTTGATGATGTGGTCTGTGATTCTAGCGGACTGGTTTATTATACCCTTTTAGTCCTTTGGAAGTCTTTTCTGCATTTTCTCAAGACTTTCTAGGGTGACACCCATCAGTGCTACCATTTCTTCCTCTGCCACACACATTCTTCTCCCTCAGTTGTGTTGTGTTGCTCCTCCAACTCTGCTTCTTCCTTCCCATCAGCCTCCCTTCCTTGCAATATCCCTTACCTCAGCTATCTTGCTACACCATAGCTTTAGTGAAGCTCTGTTTCAGTACTAAACAAGATGTAAATAGATTTCTTAACAGCAAGCAAGACAAGGATCAGAAAGTTACTTTTGGGAACTCTTGAGAGTGTGTTCATCTGCGGAAAGGTTCACGACACTATAGGGAAAGTAGCTGAGAATCACCGTAATATACTTGGATTCATTGATGAAGAAGTTGTCTTTTGCAACACTTAAACAATTCTGTTATTACTGGAGAGTGACATTTCATTGCCAAGAGGTAGGCAAGCCAAGTCAAAAGAAATGCTGGCCGATTCCAGCTGGAGCCCGAGCCTGGTGACATGAGCGGGGGATGCTACCTGATGGAGGCGAACCTTTAGATTAGGTGAGCACCAACACCGCCTGATAAAGCTGACAACAAGCCATCTCAGTCCAGAGCTCCCTGGGGACCAGGATATGGCAGGGGGATGTCAGCCTTCCCTGCCTTGGCCTGCAGGTGTGGGCAGTCTGCCTCGCCCCAGGCTCTGGCCCAGTGGAAGGCGATTGGCACAGTGCTCACAGAAACGTACTTCTGCCGCTGGATTGTAAGGGTCAGGAAAAGGGGGCAAAGCGGGTGAGCGGCTATTGGATCAAGGTTTCTCTTGTGGGCCTAGGGGCTGCCATGTGAGACGCCAGTGCTGTTTTCTGACATGGGTTTGCCTTGTGCATGTGGGAGCATCTCCATCCTTCTAGCTCAGGAGAGATCTCAGTCCCTGTTTGTTCTCCAGAGGCAGTCTCAAACTCCAGCTCTCTGCCAGGAAGGGCAAATGTCACCTTAAATGCAACATGATAATTAGAGCTGAGGGAGAAATACCTCTCCCTTCCCTAGGAAGCTCTTGGGACTTAAATATGCTCTCTCCTGGTCCTTCTCGGACCATCCGAGAAGTCAACAAGAAATGCCCAAGGTAAAAGTTCACCACCCAGGAGCAGTCTGTGTGCCACTTCGTCCAGGCCTGGAGCATAGACCTGACCTCCAAACCATGGCAGAGGACCCCAATTCATGCTCATGAAGGCAGTGTGCTCTTGGTCTTCTCTGACAGAGCTCGTTCCCTTTGGATAAATGATGAAATAATCACTGGGACAAGGACCTGACCCATGGCTTTCCACCGACCAGGTGACAGCCTGAGCCCCGAGGTAACAAGGCCAGTTTTGCTCCAAGCCAGTGAGTCATCACTGTCTGTCTCAACAGGATCGGTTCCAAAGAGGGAGATTGAGAAAGGTGGGTCAGGAAAATGCCTGTTCCATGCTAGTGAGTGTTTTTTGTGCATGGTCAGGACAAGCATAATGCCAAACTGAAATGAGATGAGGAGGCTACATCTCCTTTCAGTAGTTCACACCCAAATGGAATTAATACAGTGCTTCTCCCTCACTCACAGGACCCAAATATCCATCAGATGGCAATTCACTGCCTCCCAATTCCAGTGTTCAGTAGGCATTGTGTATTCCATGTAGATACGTCATGACAGATGTCTTTCTTGCTTTTGATGCTTAGAGCAGTGAAAGCCAATGGCTGGGCTCCTTCCCTCTCCCCAACTCTGTTTTCCTTTTCTGTAAGCTATTTCCCACAATATTTGTTTCAAGTAGCAGAAGGAATTACACCTCTGGGATCTCCTAACGCATACACTGTAGTGTAAGTTACCCAGCCTCCTATCTGACAGCTAAATTGATTTCTGAAATACCCCCATAAATAATATTTACAGTGAGCTACAAAGTGCACCTTGCAGCTCCCCATAAACCTGACAGCTTTTCAGAACTGAGACCACTGTCACGAGGAACAAAGCGAAACGCTGAATCGCTGCTGTGGTTCTTCGCAGCCTGACGCGTGATGCGTCATGTACCAGCAAGTGTTGGCTTTCCCGCATCTCGTCGTGTTGGTGTTTCACATGACGGGTGGGAACCTTGGCAAGCACAGCCCCCACACCCCATATCCTCATCACTGCACGTTCTCCCCCGGGTCTTGCATTGTAGAAACAGGTGCATGTTTCCGCAGTTGGAAGGTTCTCTGGCGCCTGTGGCAGGGTGAGCGTTCAGCCATGCTTTCTAGATTCATGAACACGTGCCGTGCTCTACAGGTGTGGACATCACGACAAAGTGATACGTGGCTTAACACACACAGCTCTGCTGTTTGTCATGCATGTTTAAGCTTCTCTCCCCACTGTTCTGTCATCACAAACTGCCCTGGAGCACTTCTGAAAGCAGGGTGAGCAACCTCAAACCTCTCGCCTTTTTTTTTTTTTTTCATTTTCTTTTTTCCCCACATGATTTTTAATATCACTTTCTAAGGATTAATCATCAATGCTTCAAAACAACTCAGATAAAAAGGTAGAAAGAATAATTTCACTGGAAGAGACTGAGAGTGTTTCTGTAGAGGGGACAATTGTAGAAGAGC